GCAAGAAGGTGAGCAAGAAGGACGTGGTTGATGTTCTGAAGGAGTATACGATATTTAACGGTGTTGATTTCAGTAAAGTGTGATAACAGTCTGCCCAGCCCCTTTGTTTTAATTTTCAGTTTTCCTCCCCTTAATGGGTAAACAAGAACTTAATGATAGCAGCATTGGTGCCATTCAGGACAGTGGAGACAACTCCATGGACATGGAAGAGTACATGGCACGAGCAGACGCAGAATTGGCCCAGATGAAAACAAAGTGCAAAAGAATGAAAATACCGGCTGAGCCACAGCAGTACTCTGTCTCACCACTGCAGAACATGAAGCAGCGACTCCAGGAGAACTACAGCGAGATCGACACTGGTGTTGAAGACGATAAAATATATTACAGGCCGCATAAAAGAGTTGATCTAAGTGGAAGCGTAAAGAGGAATATGATGATAACTGTGGGAATAACCTGTGGTCTTGGTCTGGTGACATCTGTGGCGTATCTGGCCACCAGAAGGTGACTCTTTTCCTGTATAAATTAAGTAGACGACGTATTTGACTCCTTCTAAAAACTAGTAAAATTTGTTGCAGGCAATAAATCAAAGAGACTAACTAACGGTGATGTGAGTCTCCGCAGCATTTAATAAATTTTTGATTGATCAAATCAGCGTGCCCCATTTTGGAATGTGTAGAGCGGTGTTTGAGGAGTACATGAAGTTGTCAGGGCGGAGCCTGGTGCTGCTGGATCTCACTGCAAACGGGGAGTGGTTCCTCTTCCCACACAGCAGCTTCACAGGCAGCGGTGTTCTGAACGGGCGAATGCACTGGTTCGACGACGAAACGAGCCCAACGGAACAGGGCTGCAAGGTATTCGACGAGTGGGACGCGTTTCTGGCCAAGGACGAGCTGATAAGGCGAATTGGGTCATTTATTGGTTTGGTTGAATCAAAGAGCCATGACGCCACCTTCAGCCGAAAGAGCTTCCTGGCCCACGCCAACCTGCCTGTCGACTACTTCTACTTCCTGAAGAGGGAAGCAGCCGTGGCTGGGCTGGACGCAGCCGTGGCCACGCTGCTTGAGGGCGGAAACAACGCCCTCTCAATGAGCAAGAGGTCGCTTCCGATCCAGAAGAGCGTCTTCTACTGCTACTTCACGTGGCAGATTGCAAGCAGAACCACCCTTTACAAGTCCATGCTCTTCAAAGTGGACAACTCGTCAGGCTACAACATATTTTCATACGCACGAAAGAATAATCGGTCGATTCCCCCTACTGGTCACCAGGCAGCAATTTATAAATGACTGCTTCTCACCCTGCTGTACCTGCTGAGTTCAATCACCACCATTTCGTCTATTTCAGTGCTCATCAGGTGGTGCAGGTGCACGTAGAAGTTCAGCATCTTCCCGCCTGAGCAGACCTCCTTCAGGAAGTAGAAGACCTCCTTCTGGTCGAAGTGGAGCAGCACCTTCAGAATGATCCGGAACATCGGATACCCGTACATCTCGTAGAGCGAGAAGTGGTACGTGAACAGGTTGTAGTACATCGAGAACGTCTTGTTCAGCTGGAGCATGTTCAGGTAGGCCCTCTTGCAGTTGGCCTGGATTCTCGTGTCGGTCTCCAGGTCGGACGGGTAGCTCTCGTTCAGCTCAGCCTCGCCGTCGTTCTCAAGGGCCTCCTTATACGCAGTTCCATCAGTTCGCTTCTCCCTGATCTTCTTGAACAGCTTCCCAAAATACTCCTGGACTGTCTCGTTCACGTCCTCCTCCTTGAAGACCTCTCTCGCGTACTGCTTGTGGTCAACCGCAAATGACACGTCGTTGATCAGGAAGTAGCAGGTGTTCTCGATCTCGTCCTCGATCTCGTGGAACTTCTTCAAATCAAACTCAAAAATGTCCTCAATTTGCATGGGCTATCATTTACTAATAATGGTCATTGTGCTCCAGGTAGCAGTATTCGAAGACGAAGTCGCTCTTCTTCATGAAGTTCCACGTCGACTCGTAGTCGAAGAAGAGGAACTCGCCCTTTTCGTATTCGGCCGTGATCAGCCGTGGCTCGTCCAGGCGCTGGAACCAGATTTGGTATCGCAGGTGGAATCGCCAGGCAAACGACTTCAGGCGGATTGCCGCGTACGTCTGCTGGACAGTCCCCCTGAAAAAGTAGAAGATGAAGAAGAGCGTGTCCAGGTCGAACTTCTTGTAGAACGAGGGGTCGCTGAACATGATTGGCGCCGACTTCGGGAAGAACGAGGGCGTCTTCACCGTCTTCCCTCGCTCCTTCCTCCCCTTCAGAACTGAAAATATTGGCTTGTTTTTGTAGCTGTTTTCCAGCTCGCAGTTCCTGAACTTATCAGGCGGATTCAGGAAGTCCACTACGCTGCTTCTGCCGAATCCAGGCCCATTCGTCTCCTGGCTCCTGATTCTCGTCACTTCCTCAACACTCTCCCTGTAGTGCTCAAAATTCAAGTTTTCTATGGTATTCTTCGATGTCTCCTCAGACTTCTTGTCCGATAGGTGCTGTGACACCTGCTTCCAGATGTCTACGGATGATAGTTTGTCTGTGTCTTTTTCTTT